TGCTCTGGGTTTGCCTGGCCCATGTCTGCCTGCCATCCCGCTCTCCTCCCTCCCTCTTTGCCCGCTGCCTCCCCCTCCCTGCCAGCTGTTTTGGGGGACACTGCAACTGTGATCCCCCTGCTTTGCCCTCAGGCAGGGGGAAGCCCTGCTGTTCAGAGGGCTGGGGAATGTTCTGGCAGCAGTGCAAACTCAGGCCCATGCAGCCCGAGTCGCCCAGCTAGTTGCCACCTGCCTTCTCGCTGGTGCATGCGCAGTAGGGCAGAAGTGTTATGGACAGATAGACATACAGACAGACAAAGTCTTTTATTATATTAGAATTCTGGAATAGCTGTTCTAGGTTACTGTTCTGAATTTAACTCCATGTATAGATGCTTTTAGTTCAGAATAAGAGTGCTTTTTCTGTTGTTCAGTTTAATTGATTTTGAAAAGAGATTAAGGTTAACCGGAAAAAAGGTATCATGATTCTGGCATAAGTGGTGTTTGTACGTAGAATTAATTAGGAATAGTTATTCCACTTTAAATTTATAACGAGTTTTATTCTGGATTAACTTTCATGTGTAAATAAGCCCTAAAATGGAAGATAAAAGACCTAATACACATAGAGTGCAGTCCTCCAAGCTGTTACTCATATAAATTGTTGTCTTGTGTTCAGCAAATACTATTTGCATAAAGTTGCAGAATCAAGGTCATTCAGTGCAAGGCTAACACAGTAGTGTATCTGAAGCAGTACTCTGAAAGGAATGCAGGGAAAAAATAAAATAGCTTTGGAATAGACAGTTGTATACTAATGTGTTTTTAATATCTGTTTTTGCTGCTTCCACCTCTGTGTATTAACATTTTGGGCTCTTATGGTAGAATTTTTTTTCACTTAGTATGCTTAAATGATGGTTTTCTGGCCTGTGACGGATTGATCAGAGCATGCGTTTAGGCATTTGGAGACATGCAGGAGCCCTAGAGCCTGTCTCTCCCATTTCTTAGGCAAGTGCCCTAACTACTCAACTGTTGGCTAAAACACGGACGGGCTGTCCTCCTTCTCCTCCTCCTGTCTTTTTTCCCAGATTTATGCTCGGGCATACACATACGTAGCCATGTGCTTGTCTGATCAATGTGTGGCCCACAAAGCATTGTTAGAATATACATGTCCACATGACGCCCACACTGTAGGGCAGGGGTGGGCAATTTTTTTTGGGCGGAGGGCTGCTTACTGAGTTTTGGCAAGCCATCGAGGGCCACATGACAGGTAGCCAGGGGCAGAAATATTAATTTTCTAAATTTTTTAGGGGCCCTGCGGGCTGGATAGAATGGCCTGGCAGGCCACATTTTGCCCACCCCTTCTGTAGGGGGACCAAAATCGCAAATTGTGCATAAATGTCAGAAGCAACACTTAAGTAACTTGGTAAATTCCAGTTAGATACACAAAGTGAAATAGAGATCTGCCCTGTTAATGTTCATTTCTAGTTACATTTGTGACTGACTGTTATTACTCTGATTTTTGAGAGTCTAATGGAGTGAAAATCCAAAGCTTTGAGTTCTGTCCTCTGCTGCTCTCTCTCTCTTTGAATTGTATGGTAAATATCCACAGGATTGTTCATCCTTCTATGAATGGTTCGATAAATTACCATTGTTAATTTTAAAAAAGTGAAAAATGCCTGAATTTTTTTTTCTTTAAAGGTTGCTATAAGTTAAATTGATTAGAAAAAAAAGGATCTGTGCCCTGCTCCCACAATCCCAGCACCCATGAGAAGGGTTTATCATTAAGTGCAGCCTGTGGTCTCCCACCTGGACCTACTCCCACTCCATTGCTGCTGCAGAGGATGGGGGCTTGGGCAGGACAGTACAATGGGAGGGAGCCTGGTAAATCTATTGGCTGCATGGTGGCAGGGGGATCACGCTCCCTGCCCAGTGGTGATAGTGGGGGCTTGGGTTCATGTTGCCCGTGCTGTGGGGATCCTGGGAGCCCGTGTGGCATGCAGTCCCCAAGGCATTTGGCTTACGTGGTGTGTAGCCCAGTGCCTAAAACTGGTATGGCATGTGGCTTCTCGTTACTGTGAAGGACAGTCCTACTTTAAACTAATAGCAGTTCTTAATTTAAGATGAACTATTGCAGTTAGCGTGTTTCTATCATTTTAAGCTTTAGGGAGGACAGACCATCTTTTGTTATCTGTTTATGTACAGCATATAGTATATTTGGGTCACAGCCTGTGAGTAGGCTTCCTAGGAACAAACGATACAAATAATAGTAATGTATTTAGTGTGTTTAAATTTCACATTGTCTTTATTTTAATAAATATTCTTAGGTAAGAGATTGTGGGCTTTTAGGTTTATGTATTTTTTGAGATAAAGGCAATATGGCACTCTTACTGTGGAGTAAGCATGTTCACTTAGAGTTGTTCAGGATTAGCTAAGATGTAAGAACTGTCCCATACGTTTGAATGGCTTCTCAAAGCTGAAAACAAATTATTGTAATTTAAATGCCAGTGGTTAGTGCTGACCATTTTAGTAAAAGCATTCAGTAGTTCATCCTTCTGCTTTAGCTATGGTGAGTTAGTGTTCCTGGTGTTTCATAGCAATATGCTTGGTACTTGTGTGGCAGGGTTGTTTGCATAGTTTTAAGATTAGGTTAGACAAACACCATATAGGATAGTTTATAGAGGAACTATCCTGCCTTGAGTAAAGGATTGGACTAAATGACCTCCTAAGGTCCTTTCCAGTGCTACTTTTTTATGATTCCACCCATGATTGTGTGATTCTTTTTTATTTCATCATTTCAAAATATTGTACGTGCTTTCTAAGTGCCACATACTGTGACTAAAACTCAAAAGAAAATGTCGTCTAACAAATATTTTTTTTCTCTTTAGAGACCAGTTCTGAAAAAGGCTCTTATTGTTGTTCTACAGTGGTGTTTCAACCACAATTTCAGTGTTCGGCTTTATGCATTAATAGCACTTAAGAAGATCTGGGGCATGTGCAAAACACTGCATGTAGAAGAATTTGAGGCCTTAACACCCGTAATTGAATCTAGTCTCCATCAAGTGGAAAACATGCATGGCACAGGGTTAGTAAAATACTTTTGACTAACAATGTAACATATCCGTTTGTATTTACTGGATTGCAGAAGTCTGTTAATTTGTGATGTATGTGGAGCTTCTTAAACTGTTTACAAGTAGCACTTGATAATTTTATTTAATCTATTTAAGTAGAATATTTAGAACTGAAATGAAAAAACTTGTCATCTGACATGAAATGTAATGAAATGATAGTAGCCATCCTGTGTTCTCTCCAGTCCAGAAATCAAATGGTTTCATTTAATCTGAATGCATAATGCAGAGTTCCATATTCATCCAATAACTGTCTGAGAATGCGAACAGACTGTTATTTAGAGTGTCAGCAGTGTAACAGAGATGAATATAATCACTTGGGAAAGAGGGTTCATCACTCCTTGCAGGCTTTGTTCTCCCAGACTGAAAAACAAGCATAGTATGTTAGCTAAGAAATCTAGAGCAAATTTTAATTTATTCTTTTGTATTGCTAATTGGAGCTGGTTTGTCAGTATAATAAGTTTACAAAGCACAGATGTTATAAATATTTTATCTAACAGATTATTTTCCAGAAAATTTGCGTTTCCTGGCTAAATAAAAAGAAATGTCAGTACTTGTCTTACTCCTGTTTGGAGTTCCTTTGATTCAAATATCTTTTGTGTAAGGAAGCCTTGCTCAAATTGTAATGAGCCTTGCTGCATATAATGTTGCACTATGAAAACAGTGAGTGTTGGCAAAATTGAATGCTGTTAGTAATCTGTCTGCTTACTTCTTTACCCTGCGCCCAGTCAAATCTATGCAGACCTGGTATGACCTGCAAAATGGGGGTCCTCCTGCAAAATTGTATGGCACAGTAAAATAGAAGGAGAAAAATATTGGCTGCAGCTGGTTATTTGTAAGTGCATTTGCCAGTGAAGGTGAAAGAAGGGAGAAGTAATAGTGACATTGATTAGTCTGCTGTTTTTGAAGTGTACTTGTTTATAAATTGACTTCCATAAACACTCCTCCAGTTAATGATTTTGGAGCTTAACATTTTTTAAAATTAATTTAATTTTCAAATTACCTGCACTGCTACTATTCACTAGTCTAGTTAAGAATTCTTGAAATAGCTTATCTTTCATTTCTCCAAGAGAAATATGATGTACATATGAAACCCTTCTCGGGGCAGGATCCTCCTGGCTAATGTAATTCAGAGAGCTAGTGTGGTTTACTAGAAACGCAAAATGAATTAATTTCCTGTAGGGTATATTCAATATATTATAGATGGAATTTGGACTGACTTCTTACCATCTGACAATAAAGAAGTTAATTGTTTAGCAGTTTTATATGTCTCACAGTATTTTTGCCATTTATAGGAATGCTAAAAGGAATTGGCAACGAATCCAAGAACATTTCTTTTTTGCAACATTTCATCCACTTAAGGATTACAATCTAGAGGCAAGTACAAAATACTGTGCTTTGTTGGGCAATGCCTTTTTACTGCTTTGCTGCTGTATTTGTATATGGCCTTTTCTTCTGTATGATCAATTGTAATTGGTATCAGATATTTAGATGCAGATGGTTGTTTTACAGAAGTCCTGTCTAGAAAACTAAAGCATCAAAAAGAAAAGCTTTCGATGTAGGAGTATATTAGTTAATATGGAGGAAGCAGCTAGATTAACTCCTTATTGGTTATATTTTCTTTTGTTGCTTGATCAGCAGGGATCCTGGTTTTCTTTAATAAAAAAAATCACAAATTCTCTGATAAAACCCCCAAAATCCGTGATTAAAATGGAATACCACTATAAATATAGGTGTCAATTGAACACAATGTTTTATTGATATATTTACGATTTTAAAGCAAATTAGAAGCCTACCAGTGCCTCAGTCACTATAATAAAATACAATGTAAATATCTGTAAATTTTGGTATTTGATTTTGGGTTTTTTACCATGGAAAATCAGAGCCCCCCCTGCCCTCTTAGCTCACAGAACACAGGTCCAGGCCCCACACTCCTCACCACAGCCCACTGGCACAGCTTTTTGCCCTGCTGGAGGGGGCCCCCAGCTGCCAGGGCTACAGGGCCAAGGACATGAGTCTGCAGCCCCCTGCCCCTCACAGCAATGCCAGAGCCCCAGGTGTCACCTGTGGGATGCAGCAGCCCCAGCAGGGAGCGGAGCATGGAGTCTGGCTTCCCCTTGCCCCACACCCCATGTGGGCGGCATGGTCTGTTGGGGGAGGGGCAGGTGCGGGCTCGGGCAGGGGGGGATAGGGTTGGCTCCCCATTGCTGCGTGCAGTCTCAGGGGAAGGCAGGGGGGACCCGTGCCCCCTGGTGTGTGGGGCAGGTGTGGGGGTGGACTGCCTGCTGTGGGCTCGGGCTCCCCACCCTGCTGCCTTCTCTTGGGGCCTTTGTGGCCCAGCAGGCAGGACTGAGCGTGGCAGGGCAGAACAGGGTCAGGCAGGGAAGCTTCTTGCTGCTGCAAGCCCTGTGTTGCCCTGACAAGTTGTCCCCTGCATGCCTGGCAGCATGGGGGGCAGTGGCGTGGGGTTGTACCCCTCACTACTGCTGGTCAGGCAAGGAAGCCTCGCCAGGGCAATACAGGGCTCATGGGGCAAGAAGCTTCCCCTCCCAGACCCGCTCACCCTGCTGTGCCGAGTCCCATCCACTGGGCCACAGAGGTCCCAAGGGAGGGCAGCAGGGCAGGGAGCCCAAGCCTGCAGTGGGCAACCTGTCCTCCACCTGTGCACAGATCTGGGGGGCATGGGTCCCCCCCTGCCCCCCCCGCAAGAGTGCATGTGGTGGCAGGGAGCCAGCCCTACCCCCTAGACGAGCTGCCAGCAGCCCCATCCCCCACCCTCCCAGGGCCTGGCGGCCACACATTTCAACCCTGGGCCCCATGTACCCCCAGCTGGGCAGCTGCCCTAGTCCCAGTCCTGTCCAACTCCTTCCCTCCCTATGGGGGCCTCAACCCTGTCCCCTCCCCACCAGCTTAGCTGCAGGAGCTGCTGTCCAGGCTGCCTGGGGCCATGTACATGGTGCCTCTGCCAGACTGCCCTCCTCCCGTTTCCCCCAGCCCCTTGCAGGCTGGAACTCTGCCAGCCTGCAGAGAGCTCTTTGCAAAAGTGCAAAATATGTGCATTTCTCCATTAAAATGAAAAAATCCATTTTTCTTGAGTAAAAGGGGAAATTATGGGGTTTTTTTTCCATTTTTCCATGAGAAGAAAACCTGGATCCCTGTTGATGAGTTATTTTTAGTCACTTAGATCTAACCAGTTAGTCACCTATGGCGTGCTTGGATTTTTTTGTGACCCATCTTCTGTTCTGTCCAAATGTGTTTTGAAGTGACTTGGCTAAACCCTGTCTTCCGTCAAAGTCAAAGGGGAACCTCTTTAGCCTAGGTGCCTAGGTATGATTCAATCCTCTATGCTCAAATGGTCTGGATGTTTCACTGATCAAGCTATCCTTATGGCAGTTCTGCTGTCTGCTATTTGCTCTCAGTCTTTCGACACCTATTTCACAGCCTTGGAGACTCTCTAGCTCTTTTCAGAATCATAGATCTACCCATGGGAGCCCGTCTTCAGTAGCAGCTAGCATTTTAGCTTTAGTTAAGCAGGAAAGGGAGAGTGAGTCAGCTGAAGATTAGGCTTTGCCCCTGCTCTGTGCAGCCCTAACTCTGGAAGCATCTTTTCTTCATTCTGCCTTTCAAGAAGAAAATCGAGGGATGTTTTATGTGAGAAAATATAGTCTTTTTTCATGGGCTTGAACAGGGTGGAACAAGGTAATATTTAGGGACCTAATAGATAGAATGAGAGCAGATGCTAAAGCCAGAATTAATTTAGGCACATTGCTTTCTTCTCTCCTTGAGGAGCTGCTTCTGTTTTTCACTATGTCTCAAAAGAACTGGAATCCAGGTGGTCAGCAAGTGGGGAGGAGAAAGAAAGGCAAATAAGGATGATGAAGAGAAATAGTAGTGGGAGAATGAAGGGAGAAGGAGGAATAAATGAGGAAAACATGTCTGGCAAAACTAGCAGCTCCTCTCAGAGGTGGTGTTGCTTGTAAGAAAGCTGTGAAGGTATCTGGATATTTCAGAATAGGAAGAGTTTTCTGGACTCATTTGGCCAAGTTAGGAAAAATGTGACAATTTTGAACAGCACAGAAAAGAAAATAGGAGAAGAATTAAATGCTTTCAGAATCAACATCTTCAGTAACATAGGAGGCACAGTCCCAAGGTCTGGAACTGAAATTCTACAAAAAATTTAGCTTTGTTGTTTGGTATCTTCCTTTCTCCTTTTAATTATGGTTAGTTGTATTGGTAATGCTTTAATGGGAGTTTGCCACTGGCTTTCAACCCATCCTATTTCCATAACTCAGTCAGTCAATACTTGCTGTAGTAGGGTTGGAGTGTTGCTGTAGCCAGGAAATGTATGAGGGGCAATATTTGTTAGCAGCAGTTTATAACAGTCGTCTCTCAAAATGTTAGTGTGTCAGATGTCCAAGTCTGACAGGAGTTGTTGGGGTATACTGTCTGGCACTATACTGTATTCTCATTAAGAAGTTTCAGCACAGCCAATGGAAAATACCTCCCTTAATCATTTTACTATGCCAGTTCTACTGCAGGTTTATCAAATATGTTGAAGTTCAGATTCTGAGTTTTTATGGCTGGAGAATTTAAAATGTACTTTCTTTTATTCTGCTCATTGAGCAAAAAACTTGTTTTCGAATCAGTCATTTAAGAATCCATAGATTTGGAGCATCTTCACAAATGTCTCATTTTATAAGAGCATATGTAATTCAAGCCATCCAGAGGATTGGTTAATAGATTGGTTATCTAAAGTGCTTAATATTTTCTGTTACAGCACAAAGTTGAGTCACTTTCATTAGAATTGCAGCAGCTTGTAACTACCAGTTTACTACTTTGCTTACTACAGTTTTATTTTCCTGCAGAGTAGATTTTCATGTTTTTCCCTAAAGGAAGCACCACGTTTTGATTAAGACGGGCATAATTTTATTTGAGCTTTGCTGGCACCTTTTCTTAATTCCAAACCAACATGATATTCAGTGATTATACCAAAATATCAGGGGATGTAATTCTACTGAATAAGCAGAACTCCCCATTGTTGTTGCAGAACAACCTGGTTTTCTTGCTGGGTTTTTTCCCCTCATTTTTCTTGTTTTACATTTTGGCTGGTTATGGCTTATTTGTATGAGTTCAAATATTCCTATTAGTAGGGGAGAGGATTAAAATTGTCTTTGAAATGTATAGATTAAGAAATGTATTCTACTCCAAGATTCCAAGCTCTAATATCCCTTGCATAGTGTCTTACCCCGCCCGGGCTCGGTGTCTCTGCAGCAGCCCCGATGCTCAGGCCTCTGCTGCACACACGTGTTGCCATGAAAGTGGCAGCAGCAGCAGGAGCCAGTAATGAACGGTCCCTTTGATGCTGAGTGCAGCGCCCCGTGACCACTCCCCAGCACCCCTTCCCGCTGCTCGCCAGGACCAGTATTCTACTGTGGGCTGAAGCTGGCTGGGGGCCACAGGGACCAGATTACACTCGCCATGGTGCTCCAGGCACACAGCTGTAATTATTGGCTACAACGACCAAAAAAAACCGATAACTGACATCATTTCTCCTTTTATTGGTGCCAATCCAATAGCCAACCAATATACTGGTGCACCCCTAGTTAGTTTTATATCTTTTTACAGCTATTTTTCCTGACATTGCACTGAAACTGTTTTGTTGCATTGCAGACGATATTTTACACCCTTCCACGCCTTTCGGAACTGGTTGAAGATGAATGGATCTCACTTTGTAAATTTACCAGATTCACTAGCATTCCTTTGCCATCAACATATCAGTGGTATCATTCTCGAGCTGAACTTCTTGACCTAAAGCCAAGTGATTGGTCTCAGCAAGACAAGGGTAAACTATAAACATGTCATACTTTAAGTATAATGGATGTGTACTAGTGGTAGCAGTGTATTTGCTCTACAAAATTTAATTTTAAAATCTTGGAGAGAAATTTATTTGTGTGATGCTATTAAGGATATCTCATATCCAAATCAGCATAATGTGTTCAGGTTACTGAGGACATGTGACTCTGTGAGAGAGACGCACTGTTTGGGGCATGTTACTTTACTAAGACACTGAGCCAGTTGCATTATAATATCAGCATTTTCCATGTCTGTACAGCTAATCCTAACACATCTTCTTAGGTTCAAATTCAGTTGAAATGGATAACCAAACAGAATGGACTGATGTTCAGAAAAAGATTATCCCTTGGAAAAATAGCATTCCTGATTTAGACCTGGAACTGGTGTTTCAGGACCGTGCTGCTAAACTTGGTAAATCAAACAGTAGACTGATTGTAGTGGCTTCACTTATTGATAAACCCACAAATTTAGGAGGTAAGGTTGAATGCATGTTTTTAATGCTTTGTTAGTGCATATTTCCAAATTGTGAAACTAATTTAAAATTACCAAGTCTGCATATTTTGTCTGTTCCATATGGAAAATGCTTTTTTGTGTTTTAGATAGAAATAGGCATTTCCATTTTAATGAAGAGTTAGTTCACAAAGTGAAAACATATCCATTCCTTCTATCTTCCAAGAATATTTTATTGTCATTGCTTACAAAAAAGACATTTCCTTTATGTTAAAAACCTAACTCTCTAATTATAAGCAGGAGAAATCCTGGAAATGCTTACTGCAGGGTTTAGAGCTTCTTGCTATGGACAGTTCCCCTGACTACAGCGAAACTATTGATGATAGATAAGCACTACTGATAACATTTGCAGGGTTGTGCTCTACTGGATACATACTGCAAGGTAGTATAGAAATTAGAGCAAATTAGATGCACATTTGTGTGCATTCATGTATGTATGTAACCCTCTGTGCATACATACATGCTAACTCACAGTTTTGTAACAACATTGGAAAGAAATATTTCAGAATACCTTCTAGGACATAGTATTGCTTTTATATTCCCTTAAATATAAAGTACTCTGATAGGATATAGAAAACATTTCTCTGGTGACATTAGAACTCTTGTTGAGAGGTATAATTTGGAATAGATATAAAAAGGTCCTGGAAAGATTTTTGTTGATTAGCAAAAGAATGATAGAGGAAACAAAAAAAAAAAAGAAAAAAAAGAAGTATATTATCAATTATTTGTTCTCAGATTCTTATCTTTTTCACAAGTTGCTATATCCTAGTTTTGTTTATGCTAACCATTATATGGTAATCATATTTTAAATCTTATGCTTATTTATAGGCTTGTGTCGTACAAGTGAAATATTTGGGGCATCTGCTCTAGTTGTTGGCAGCCTTCGTTATATACATGATAAACAGTTTCAGCAGCTCAGTGTTTCTGCGGAACAGTGGCTTCCCCTTCTTGAGGTGAGATCTACCTAAATTTAATCTAGCCAATGCATAAAAGTCAGGGTGCTTATTAACTCTTTCTTACTTAGCAAAAGTACCTCCTGCTGCATTTCCCGTTAGTATCAAGTATACTGTGTTGGTCTGCTGCTTTTGGAAGTCCTTGTGGCAATTTTTTAAGTGGTTGCTTTGCTTTTATTTTCAAAGGTTATTGTTGTGTAAAAGAAACTGATTATGCTAGTTGCCTTTTTTGTAGCATGCTCTGTGTGTAATTTTTTATAGGTGTTGATTATGTGTTGAAATTTACCATTCATTTGGAAAACTTGAGATAAACAACATTTAAATGAATCACTTATCTTCTTTGGCCCATTGCCTTTGGTGACTTAATGAGAATCATTAATCACACAGTTTGCCTAAAACCAATTTATAAGATAGCTTTCAGAGCGTGTTCTTTAACTTACCAAAATCAGGCCTCTTTTTCCTTCTGAATATAGATCTAGTACTCAGCAACATATGCAAGCTACTGGTAGATGGTTATATTGATCTACCCATTTTCAAGGTCAGCTTCATTTATTATTTGCAGTCTGAAAAATTAACTTTCTGATGTGGAGTGTTTTCTGCGTTTACAGATTTTTGCCTGGCATTTAAAATACAGATGCGTTTTCAGCATATATTGGTCATATGGCACTATAGCTGAATAAAATACAAATAGACAAACATTTAAACAACAGTTTCTATGTCCATGTATGTGCAGCACTGTGAGAGACATTTTACATCTCTTTGATAGAATTGGAGCTTAATAGGTATGAGTCCAAAAAAAGCCCGTACAGGGAAGGAAAAGGAAAAATGAAGAAAATAAGTTATTAAGAACTATTAAAGCATAACACTATATAAAAAAAGAAAGGCAGTTGAAAGGGTTGAAAGCCAGTGGCAAAGAGCGATTGATAGTTTCTCAGTAAAATGATGGCATTTGTCTTCAAGTATTGTCCACAGATTTCATTGTTGATGCGTGTGCATCTCACACTATGAAACTGGTTTATTCAGAATTACAGCTTGTTGTGTCTGTACCTGAGTTCCAGGGGCCCTTGTAAACCATACTGCAGCCAAAGGTTTGGGATTAACCTGTTCGTTATATATGAAGGGCAGGATGGGTTAACCTATTGGCTCCTGCTCTAGCCCAGCCCCAGCTCCAGGGCCCAGTCCCAGTTTCTGCCACCACTGCTACTGGGGCGGGCTGCAGCCAGAGAAACCACATTTTCTGTGCCCCAGGCTGGAGCAGGGCTGGAAACTGCTGGTGGAGCAAGGGTAAGCAGGGGTGAAAGAAGGAGTGAGTCAGGGGGCCTTGAGGCTGCAGTGCAGAGAAGTGGGAGCAGAGACAGCAGAGGGGCAGACTGCAGCTGCAACCATGGGTCAGGGACAAAGCTAGAGCCATCCATAGCAACTGTGTCCTTCACCACCTGGTACTCAAATCCAAAACAAGGGGCTTTTCCCCTGTGTTAAGTGGGGGGGGGATAGTCTTGGATTTGAAGAAATATTGTAGTTAAGGCTCAGGTTGCCCTCTAGCCCCTCTCAGATTAATTTTAGTAAGTCATCCTGTACTCCAGAGTTGAGCCACCTAAAAAAATCCCATTTAATTTCTTCAAGAAATAAGTTGCCTGTAAGGAGAGAACAGAACTGGGGTTCCTAGGGATATGTTGCCCACATGGATTCCAAGCATAGTGCATGTGTCTCATGCTCACAAAATCAGATCCTTTGTTTCACAGTGTCCATTGGGACTGCATTTGGTAGTCCTAGGTGCCATTGCTGCTCCAAATCTTACAAAAGGCAGAGCATGCTTGACTGACAGAATCCTAGATGCATAGGACTTCACTTCTTGTTTGTCTTCATTGCAAATGTGAAATTCATGTGGACAATATATCTAACCACAGTTACTGGAGAGGACCTATATGGTGCCTTACACAGAGCTAAAGGGAAAAAGCCAGACTTCCACAACATCAGAGGACCTCAGAAAATTGGGCATCTAGCCTCAAGTTAAACAACCAGAATCGGCAGCCACTTCTGAAAATGAACCCATTTCCTCTTTCCTTTCCTTGTCTGTAAGTTATGTTCTCTCAGACGTGTTGTGAGAGTAGATTCATTAATGTTTTAGCGGTGGTGATGGACAAGGGGTTTTAGAGATGCAAAGGAAGAAGTGAGACTATAGTCAGGAAAAGTCTGGGAATCTAATAAAGGAATCAGATTATTCCAGAAAGGAATTGAAGATTGCTATCCTGCATGATAAGGATTGTCAGAGATTGGGAGCAGAGGATTAGGGGTGTCAGAGATTGGGAGCAGTGCCTTGGAAAAAAAAAGTAGAAGTCCAGATTATTGTGTGTTTAGCTCAAGTTTGTATTTAAAACTCCTACAGAAAGGCCTTATTAGTCCATGGTGTTGTCCAGGACATCTGATAAATTGCAACTCTGCAAGTTACTGCATTTGGTAGTGGCTTCTGCTAACAGCACTCATGGGTTGAAAGCTATGTCAACAGAGAGAAGGCTTTGTGAACCTATGGGCCGTACATCAAAAGGCTGCAGTTATTTTCTGGATATCATAGTCCAATATGTAGGCAATACAAAATCTCTTAAGTATTTTTAAATGAAAATGTCTTCATACATCTAGAAACTAGGATATACTTTGGAATTAAAATATACAAATAGATCAATATAAAGTCTTGAGTTTTTTGGGTGATAGTTTTGTAGGTTTACAAAGTATCTACGTGTTTTTATACTTTCCCCCTCTTTTTAATGTGCAGGTGAAACCATCTCAGCTTGTAGAGTATTTACAGCAGAAAAAAATGGAAGGCTACACTATCATAGGGGTGGAGCAGACAGCCAAAAGTTCTGACCTGACAGAATATTGCTTTCCAGAGAAATCCTTGTTATTGCTGGGGTAAGTTACAATCAGCCTCTACATGAGAAAAGAAGCTATTGAGTGATTTGGCATAATACCTAACCCTTCCTGGTGGGTAGAATAATTTGAAAACTAGTCATGTTGGCAAATGTGAGGATTAGGAAAGATGCTCTGTTTTAGATTGTAGGTGCACCTTTTTGCTGGCACATGTTTACCCCAATGTCATTTGACTTTACGGCAAAAGTAGAGTGGACACATGACTTGTACACTGGGGTTAGTCACTTTGGTCCACCAAAAAATGCAGTAACTTTACACAGAGTGAGTTATACTGGTGTAAGTGTCATGTTTACAGCAGTAGGCAGTTTTATCCCAGAGTAGCTATTTGCCCAGTGCACACAAGCTACTGCTTACTCCCCTTCTACTGAGTGGCAAGGTATTAAAAACTGTGGAGCAATAGCTTTCTTGAGGAAACTGGTCATGTTTCTGGTTTGGACACTAGTTTAATTTTAATCTGGACTAAAACCAAGATAAATTACCCTGGTATATAAATAGTGTGCCTGACCCAAGTGATTTTCTTACCTTGCCTAGGGGCTAGGGCACTAGGGGAGATGGACTTGATTTCTAGGTCTGTTGCTGGCCCTTTTGGACATCTTGTACAAGTCACATTTCCCTGTGCCTCAGTTTTCCTGTCTGTAAAATGGGGAAATGATAGTGAACCCCCTTTGAGGTCTACAGATGAAAAGTGCTGTAAGGGCTGCATATGCTTATTAGTATAAAGACTGACAACATTAAACTATGGATCAGTGTTTGCCATTAAAAGAGTAAAAGGATTGCTGTCTCTTTTCTTACCACAAAGCATTGCAGCATGACGACCATCTTCCTTGTTTGGAGAGATGCTGAATGGGAACTTCATAGTAGAATGATATTAGTTCCTTTGTACCACTACAGGGTTTGCTTCAGATGGAAGAGTTCTACTCATCTCTCAGAAACTGAGTATACTGTTTACTTAGATCAGTGGTTTTCGACCTTTTTGTATTTGTGGACCCCTAAAAAATTTCAAAGGGAGATGCAGACATAGTTGGTGGACCCTCAGGGGTCCACAGACCACAGATTGGAAATCACTAATTTAGAGCATCTCAGCTATTACTTGGCCAGGGAGCTAAAGATGCATTCAGTGAGTCTTTTGGCATGCCAATGTAGTGTGATAAAACTCATAACTCTTTTCTAATAATTCCGCAGTCCCTTGTTCCCTTTGTTACCCTTCCACCTTCACATTGTAGTTTTGTTACACACTTCAGATTACCTGTTTGTCTTCTGAATACCTATACGTCATTTTCAGTGAACTCATTCTGAAAGGTACAGCTTGCATAAGCACTGTTTAAGGATGTGCACTGGAAATGGCAGGATTTGATTTGAATAAAATTGGTAATATAATTTAGGATATCCAGGGATAGCGGAGTGGTTGAACATCTTGTATCTGTCTTATCCCTAGTAATATAGGAAGCTTTGCTGCGAAAAAAAATTACTTTTGTGGCAAAAATATATGTATTAAACCTTCTCCTTTGCTGCTCTTTTCATTTTTGTATTGAAATCATCAGTAATTACTATATGTGAAGTAAATATCAGTTGGCCTGGTAAACTTCACAAATATGGATGGAGCTGGCAGCCACTACAGTGTTTTCTGAGTGGCTTTTGCTACCGAAGTTATATTTTTTGTCTTTGATATTCTGGAGCATTCAGTTTCTTTAGAATAGCAATTTCCTGAGGGTGTGCCAGGAAAAACGGGCTGGATGGAACTCCAGCTGTGTTGGCCCTATGCACAGTTAGATTGGGCCCTGGCTGGGCCATAACTACACACAGGATTTGGCCCACAGACCAAATCTGACCTGTGGCCTGGAGAGTGAAGTGTTCTACCAGTTATAATCCAGAAAAAAAGTGTGCCCTGGGCATCAAACATTTGGGAAATGTTGCCTTAGAGACTGGATCAAGTGATACTTCTTTTTCTGTTCCTCTTTCTCTGGAGGTGTAATGGTTTTTTTTTTTTTTTTTTTTCTCCTTGTTAGAAATGAACATGAAGGAATCCCAGTAAACCTGATTCAGCTTCTGGATGTGTGTGTGGAAATTCCTCAACAGGGTATCATTCGCTCACTCAATGTTCATGTAAGTGGAGCTCTGCTGATTTGGGAATATACAAGACAACAAATGATCAAGCAGAAACAACTGAAATAGCTGGAAGAGTCTTGTGCCTTACAGTGCAGCTGGATGGATGGCTCTTATGGTGCTATAAAATATTTTTAAATACATGGAATAATTAAGCTCAGGGTGAATGAGTGTGTTTTTAACTTACGCATGTCTTACTATTTTCCTGTATTGTGCAAATACTGGTTTTTAAATGCCTTAACATATGATCTGATTGTATACTCCTGTTTTATTGGTAATAAATATTCTTATTTGTATATGGGTGACTTTTTGCTATTTCAACATCAGTATAGCAACATAAATAACAAGATTTTAATGATCCCTTCTTCACTTGATTCTCTTTCAGTTTGCTTCAAAATGTATGACGTTTGTGTTATAACTAGGGGTCCTGGTTGTCTAAAAATCACAAATTCTCTGATTAAACCCCCCCAAAAATCATACCATCCCCTTGCCCCTTCTATCACCAGGATGCGGGTCCAGCTGTGGCTGCCACCCCCCCCTCCCCACACTGCTTTATGGTGCTTAGCAGCCCTGATATGCTGGTGCCCTGCCTAAGCCATTACCCCTCACTCCTGACCCACAGCCACCCAGCCCTGCCAGTGCCCCTCACTCCCCACCTACAGCCCCCTGCCCCCTCCAGCCCTGCCAGAGAGGGCCCCAAGCTGCCAGGGCGGTGGGACCAGGCACCCGGGTGTGCAGCTCTCTGCCCCCTGCAGCAATGTCCAAGCCCACAGGAGGCAATAGCTGCTGTGACATAGCAGAACACAGAACCCGGTTCCCCCACCCTCATGGGTGGCACGGCCAGAGCAGAGCCTGTGGGGGGAGGGGGAGAGTGGATGTGGACTGCCCATTGAAGGCTTGGGGCGCCCTGCCCTGCTGCTCTCCCCTGGGACCTCCGTGGCCCAGTGGGCAAGACCCAGCATAGCAGGGCAGAGCAGGACCAGGCAGGGAAGCTCATTGCTGCCACTGGGAGCTCTGTGCTGCCATAGTGAGGGGCCTACTGCCTGCCCAGCAGCAGCAAGGAGCAGAACTCCGCACCTCCACCCCTGCTGCTGCCAGACACGCAGCGGGTGCCTCGCCATGCTGGTGTGGGCCATGCAGTGGTGGCATCACGCTTCCCCACCTGGTCCCTGTTGCGCTGGGTTCTGCCTGCTGGGCTGCAGAGGCCCTGGGGGACAGGGAGCCCTAAGCCAGCAGTGGGGCAGCCTGTCCCTGCCCCACACACAAATCTGGGAGGCACATACCTCTCACACGCTCCATCCCCAAAGTAGGTAGTGGTGGGGAGCCTGCCCCCCCAGACAAGCCACCCACAGCTCTGATCCACTCCCTGCCCAGGCCCTGCGGCTGCATTCTGGTGGGCCCAACTGGACAGCATCCCCAGCCCCACAGGTGACCGGTAGGATGGGCATGGGTGTGGGGGGAGGCATGTGCCCCCGACAGGGCCATCCTCCACTGCCAACAGCTTCTGCAGGTGCCCCCCCCAGAGTCAGGAGACACCAGTTGCCCATGCCTAACTCCCTCCCTCCCACATGGGGAGACCTCCCCCCCCACTTCCCTATGGGGAGCTGTTCTCCAGGCTGCCTGGCAGCCATATGCACGTGTATCTGTACACATGTGCAAGGTGCTCCCTGCCTGGCAGCCCTCCTCCCACTCTCCCCCAGCCCCTTGCAGGCTGGAGCTCTGCCACCCTGCAAGCAGAAACCCACCACTTCCCACGTTTTTGTCCTTAAAATGAGAAAAGCTAGGTTTTACTGCATTTTTTTTGTGGCAAGTGGAAAACCTGGATCCCTGGTTGTAACAGTGACAGCTCTAATAGCAGGTATATTTGAGGTCAAAGTGACTTCCATTTTAAATTCCCATCCACTTTTGAATTCTGAGGTAGAATACTTCTAGGTTTCTATGGAATTTGGATACAGCAGACTAGATATTTTAGAGGTCTATTACTCAGGCAGAGATGGAACTGGGACTAGCTTCCTGGATTAAGGACAACAAGAAGTCCTTCTTTAAATATATAGGGGGTAAAAAGAAGGTTCCGGGTAACGTGGGGCCCCTACAGGACATTAGGAAATTTGGTCGTCACACCAGATGATAAAGCCAACATATTTAACAATTTCTTTGCCTCTGTCTTCCTAAGCAGGGACTGGAACAGCCGCCCCCCTCACGCCCCAGGGGAGGCACATCTGGGCCAAGGGTTAGTGAGGAACTAGTTAGGGAGCTTCTGGAGGGACTGGACGTATTCAAGTCAGCCGGTCCGGATGATCTCCACCCTACAGTACTAAAGGAATTGGCTGAGGTCATTGCAGGACCCCTGGC